CACGAAATCACAACAGCGGATCGCTTCTGATTGGTTACGCGGTTACGCGATACGCGGTAAATACACCTCATGGGACTCCAGCCTAAGTGAGGTAAGGTTGATATTGCAAATGGCGTCCAAATTAATAATAGCGTTTTCGGCCCGACCGGGTTTGCAACAATCTGGGTTGGATTAATGACGTTTTGCGCTCTCTTATTGGTAGAGCGTGTGACGTCAACCAATAGGAAAGATTAATCCAACCCAGGTTGGTGCAAACCCGATCGGGCCGAAAACGCTATAAGTTATTCCGGTAGTGGATTCCCTCCCAATTCCTCACGAAACAATTTTACTTTTTTTTCACGGAGTTCAGTGTCCTTACCTTTTACTTCGCGGTAGTACTAAAAATTCTACTTTCCTCATCGATTTTGATGAAATTAGGCTCATTCGATGCGTTTTTGCACAAAATGAACGAATGTGGCAGAAAAAAGTGACGCTCTGCCCCGTAAATAGTGATGGAGGAAAATTGTCGATATTGACATAGGTCTTCTAAAGTGACACCCCCTTATTTCTCAGAAACTAACTATTGCACTTTATTAATACTAATAAAATCATGATCTGTTTAGCTAATTAAAGAAGTACAAACTCATAATTCATATATTTGTGGTTTATTTCTATATCAAATCAGTTAAAAACCAATTTTATGAATCCAAGAAGAAAATTCTTACGGCGTTCTTTTGCAAATTGCGTAATTAAAATAATAGTGACTGTATTATTAATAATATTATGTCATTTTAAATGTTTATAGTTTCATAAATTAGTTTTCTTTACAGAAAAGGATATATCTTTATTTATAGAATAGGAATGTTGGTATTATTGCCTAACTATATCAATTTGGAGCCCATTTTGTCAGACGCTCATTTTTGCATAACTTACGAAAAACTTAATTATTGCAAAATTGCAAATAGTATTATAAAAATTGCTTATACTATCTGGTAGAAGGCACTTTTTACTTTGTATTTATGTTTTTGAAGTTGTATTTTTACCTTTTGTTTAAGAAATATCGTCTAAAAACAAAGTGGTATGTCGGTATCGGTGACTTTCTCTATTAATCGTTATAATTAACGACAAGTTAGGAAATCTGTCACATCGATGGCATAGAAACATGTAATTTAAGTGAAGCTGGAATAAATATTTTCTGTTTTAATTTCATCAAAATCAGAGGAAGGTAAAATTCTTGAGTATTACCCTTACCTTTATATCTTATTTTATTTTCTTCAGTAATAAAAATGTCAAGATGCGGTATATACGCCGCACCTACCAAAAACTTAATTTATTAATGCCCGTTTCCATCAATGTAGATTGACTTTAATCTTGAGTCAACTTACTTTTCGTTTTTTTTTCTAATTCTAAAGATTAGAAAAAGACGAAGAATAAGTTGAACCGAGATTAAAGTTAATCTACGTTGGTGGAAATGAGCATAAATATTATTTATTATGTAAACAAATTATATCAGTAAAAACTTTGTACGGTCTATATTACTATGAAAAAAATATTAGAAATCCGAAATATTTATTTTTCGTATTAAAAAATAAACTTTTTGAAACTCTTGCACTTTTGCTGTATATCCCATAGGGGTGGGATATATGATTACTTATAGGAGGAAGCGAAGGTATGTATGGTTCATGAAAAATTTACAAATAATGTATATAAATAAAACATAAAATGACAATACTTATAAAATGCGTTTATAAAGTTTTATTAAGGAATAAGAATGATGAATATATATATGAAGTAATAAATAATAATTACAATCTTTCTACATATATTGCAAGTGTTACAATATGAGGTACATGTTTCATGTAATGTGTTCATTGCATTTAGTGCAATGAATTCAACCTGCGCACTTTGTATATTTTGGGCATAAATCCCGTCCGCTAAAAATGTATATCCCAAACAGGTGGGATATACAAGATAACAAACTAAACAAAGAATACGAAAGCAAAGCACTTGTATTTTGTTATACAACATGCTTTATTATTCCTCTACACGTATGTATCACAAAATAACCACAAAGTCTTTTACACGCCCTACAGTAATAATTTTATATAGATTATAATTTATGATGGCGCTACTTATTACAGTGACAAATCGATTCAATTCATAATAATTTCATTAATATTAACAGTAAAAAGCTAAAATCATAACTCAATACTAATATAATATAAAGGCATGCAATAGTTGCGAGAAAATTATCCCCACTCCTTCTATTTTTTCTGACTTCTGCAGCGTAAATCCCAACGCGGCGTATTTGAAAGAGTAAGGGCTATCGCACATGAAATGCATAACAGAGCATAAGCATAACATAAGGCCGCTAAACCAATGAGCATCTTATGTAAATCAATATGGCGACATCATGCTAGATGCTCATTGATCCAGCCGTCTTATGTTATGCTTATGCTCTGTTATGCATTTTATGTGCGATAGCCCTAAAGTGGGGAGCACAGACTCTTGCATAACGCATAACACATGAGGCATAAGAAATTGAACCAACCAGAGTTCTTTATTACATGGAAGGGAAAGAAACGGAGAACTTCGATTGGTACATATTCTTATGCATAACGCATAACACGTAATGCATAAGAATATGTACCAATCGAAGTTCTTCGTTTCTTTCCCTTCCATGTAATAGAGAACTCTGGTTGGTTCAATTTCTTATGCCTCATCTGTTATGCGTTATGCAAGAGTCTGTGCTCCCCGCTTTATAACCGCAGTACAAACTCTTGTATAACGCATAATGATATGTACATAAGGGAATCAACCAATCGAAATTCTTCTTTTCCATGGAATGAGAGGAAAGGAAAGCTTCTGATTAGTTGATTCGCTTATGCACTGTGCGTTATGCGTTATGCAAAAGTCTGTGCTGCGGCCATTAAGCAGGGAGCACAGACTCTTGCAAAACGCATAACACATGAGGCATAAGAAATTGAACCAACCAGAGTTCTTTATTACATGGAAGGGAAGGAAACGGAGAACTTTGATTGGTACATATTCTCATGCATTACGTGTTATGCGTTATGCAACAGTCTATTCTCTCCGTTTTATGGCCGCAACACAGACTCTTGCATAACGCATAATGCATAGTGTATAAAGGAATCAACCAATCGAAATTCTTCTTTTCCATGGAATGAGAGGAGAGGAAGCTGATTAGTTGATTCGCTTATGCGTTATGCGTTATGCAAAAGTCTGTGTCGCGGCCCTAAGTCCGGATCCTTAAGCCTTGTGTCCACGATGCTAGAAATCGGTCCGAGATCTCGGATGAAGAAAGCATTGTCCAATCGCAATGGTCATGTGATCAAATTGTTCAAATGTGATTTGTTAATTTTTTCTCTGTCCGAGATCTCGGACCAATTTCTAGCATCATGGACATCGGGCTTTATACGGGCAACAGCTCTTTGACACAGCGCTAATTGGTGAAAAGCCGGTTGTGGGGGTAAAATTTATCCCCATCACCCGTTTTTCACCAATCAGCGTTCGGTATCAAAGCTCTATTATCCGTATGAGGATCCGGGCTAAAGCAACTCTCTGTCGGCACCTTTGATGTCAGCGTAGATAAAAATAAACTGCGCAAACTCGTTCGAGATATGTAACCAGTCAAGGCACTGATATTTCATCTCACTTCTTCTCTTTGTTATAACCTTTTAAATTTGAAAAATGTCTAGAGAAATACTACAGTATACGTTATGTACAACATACTATAGTATTTCCCTAAACTTTCGTATACGTTTCTTGTTAAGAATAGAGCTCCTGGGGCTTTATTCTTGAAACGAAACGTATACGAAAGTCTAGGGAAATGTTACAATATACGTTACGTATACTATAGTATGTCCCTAGACTTTCATATACGTTTCTTTTCAAGAATAGAGCCCTTGGGCCTCTATTCTTGAGAAGAAACGTATACGAAAAGCTAGGGAAATATCATAGTACACGTAACGTATACTG